TAAAAAAAAAAAGAAAGAAAGAAAGAAAAGGGGGATTACTCCTTAACAGGATAAAACTATTGGTAAATCAAAGATCAACGCATGCTTTAAATATCCTTAATGTTGATCACTTAAAGGGTGTCAGATGATCAGCTATGGAGGTACTCTTTTCTGATAATATTCCTTTCTCTTAATTAAAAAAAAAAAAAAAAGGAGGTACACTACATCAAACTAACAAGCTCTGCAGAGTGAAGAAAACCATCCACACATTAAAGAGGCAGCCTGTGGTATGGGAATAGTTGTTACCAAATGATATACTTGATAAGGGGTTAATACCCAAAATGTATAAACCCACAACTCAACACCAAGAGGAAAAAAAATCTGATTAAAAAATGAGTAGAGAACCCAAATAGACATTTTTCTAAGGAAGATGTACAGATGGTCAACAGGCATGTCACTAATCATCAGGGGGATGCAAACCAAAACCATGAGCTACCACCTTACACCTGTCAGAAGGACCAGTATCAATAAGATAAGAAATACGTGGCGGTGAGGGTGTGGAGGGAAGGGAACCCTTGTGCACTGTTGTTGGGAATGTAAATTGGTGCAGCCTCTAGGGAAAGCAGTATGGAGGTTTCTCAAAAAACTAAAGTAGAAATACCACAGGGCTTGGGAATTCATCCAGAGAAAACAAAATCACAAATTCGAAAAGATAATATGCACCCCTATGTTTACTGCTACATTATTTACACTAGCCAAGATATGGAAGCAACCTAAGTGCCCATCAACAGGTGAATGGATAAAGATGTGGTATGTATTCACAATGGAATATTACTCAGCCAAAAAGAATTAAATCTTGCCATTGGCTGCAACATGGATGGACTAGAGGGTATTATGCTATGAAGTCAGAAGAAAAATACCATGTGGTTACTTATGTATGGAATCTGAAAATAAATGAACGAACACACAGAAATAGACTCAATCACAGAGAACAACCTGATGTTGCCAGAGGCGAGGGGCGTGGAGAGGGGATGGGCAAAACAGCTGATAAGGATAAAGAGGTACAAATTTCCAGTTGTATAACAAGTCATGGGGGAACAAGTACAGCATAGGGAATATCATCAGTAATACTGCAGTAACTGTGTATGGTGACAGATGGTAACTATACTTACAGTGGTGAGCATTTTGTAATGTATGTTAAATGTTGAATTACCATGTTGTACACACCTGAAACTAGTATCTCAAATACACTTCAATTTTAAAAAAAAGAGGACTGAGGAAGAGTAGAAACTAGTTGTTGCTGGACAGTACAGGAGGAACCAGAGGACATCCTCGTGTCCATCAGGCCCAACACCACTCCCCAGGTATAAAGGCCAGTCACAGAACTGATCTACAGTGGCTGGCGGGAGGATCTCATCATTATGAAAAGGTCCAGCAGCACACACGAGAGCCCGACACCCTGTAAATCAGGCCTCACTGCTCTTTATGTGCCCCACCCCCAAAATTCATCACCGTGGCAGGGCAACGCGCCAGGCAACACTTTATCATTTAATACCGGGCTGGCAACACTCCTGCTGAAGTCTCAGGTTCTCACCACAGTCTGCAAAGGGATTTTTAAAGACTGGGCAGCACAGGCTCTGTCCACAGCAGATATGCCAGCTTCCTTGGTCTTCCCACAGACCCAGAAACCCTCTCTCGACACCCCCACGCACAGCTCCAATTCCAGTGTTTTCCCTGGCATGGCTGCCAAGACCCACCATGTAGCCCAGCTGGTCAAAAGCAGAGCACAAAGACATCTTGTTCCCCAGTCCCCTCTCCCTCCTCTCCCTCCTCTGGGGAGCAGGCTGGTGGGTGAGAGCTGGAGAGAGGCGGAGCCGGAGCCTGCAGGGGCAGTGCAGTGCTCCAGGAGGCTGCATGCAGGCCCGGGGCTCCCCCGGGCTCCTCCCCGCAGAGGTGCAAGGACCCACTCCTGTGCCCCAGGACCCCTAGGCCCCCCGAGCTTTGCTCCTGCTTTTACCACAGGTCAGATACGGAGCTCTGAGACAGGGGGCCTTGGGTTCCCAGACACAGCACAGGCTAAGATTTTCCTTCACACCCTGGGTGAGGACACTAAAGAGCACCTGTGACAGTGGGGTGAAGGCATCTTTAAGACTCATTTAAATTAATTTAGGATATTCCTCCTCCTCAATCTCATACCAAAAAAAGTTTCAAAACTATAAATGGTGAGCCTGTTTGAACAGCTAATATTTGTTGAACACCCACTGTGCTCTAGGCACTACAATTTACATACACTGTCTTATTCAATTTCAACAGTCTATGAGATGAATACTCTTAGTTATTTTACGGATAAGGAATAAAGCTCAGAGGGGTTAAGTAATTCGCTACTCAAGGTCTCTTAATCAGTAAACCAAGGACCCAAGATTCAAACCTGACCTATCTGACTCTGTAGGCCTCTGCCTACCTTGAGAAATGGGTAAGGAAACTGAGACAAAAGATGGGGTGGGGACAGGAGTGAGGTGAGCATGGATACACAAAATGTGGTCTATCCACAAAATAGAATTATTATTCAACCTTAAAAAGGAAGAAAATTCTACCACCAGCTACAGCATGGCTGAACCTTGAGGACATGATGCTCAGTGAAACAGGCCAGTCACAGAACAAATATTCTCTGGTTCCTCTCAAGTAAAGTCCCTAGAGTAGCTCAAATTCAAGACACAGAAAGCAGAAGGGTGGTTGCCAGAGGCTGGGGAGCGAGTGTTTAATGGGTCCAAAGCGTCAGCTGGGGAAGATGAACAAGTCCTGAAGGTGGACGGTTGGGATGGTTGCACGATAATGTGAATGTACTTAAAGCCACTAGACTACACCCTTAAAAATGGTCAAGATGGTAAATTTTTTCATGTTATGTATCATTTACCACAATAAAAAAAAAGAAAAAAAAAAAGGCAAAAAAGCATGCTATGGAGAAATGAAGTAAAGAACTAGAGGTGGGTCCAGAACCCAGCTCTAAGCTCCCCGATTCCTAGGGCAGTGCTCCCCAAGCTCCCACACTGTGGTGTGCGTGGAAAAGGACGATGTTCCTATGGCACACGGAGCAACTGGTGCAAGGCCTTGGGCACTCAGTATCCCCCCTGAAGGTATCAGGGTGTCTTCCACATGTAGTCCATTCCTCAGATGCCAGCCAGAGGGCTCTGCTCTGGAACTTGGGCTCCAAGGCTGAAACTGCTGATTATTTGTTTGGTTCCATAACTTAGTCATATTCTGTCTGCCTCAAGGTCTCTAAGAACCACTAACCACACCCACACAGGTCTGAGCACAGCAGGATGACAGCACAGGATCTGGTCTTTAATTATGATCTTAAAGAAACAGTAAGATACTGATTAACCTGGATGTTTGTGGAATGGGGTGTTTTGGATGCTGAGATGCTGGTTAACAGAGGAGGGCTCATCACACCTCATGACTGAAAAGCCCCTGAAAATATAGTAGTGCATCACTTAACAGTAAATACAACTGATTGCATTTGATTCCTGTGTATGAGAAACCTATTGTTGGGGGTTAGAAGTATCACTCTCACAGAGGAGAAACCTAGGAATCAGATGCACAAATCTTTTGATAATTCTACAGGATTATTTCATCCATTCCTTATTTCAACAACATAACAAGTAAACAATAAAAATAGTACTTATTATCATTACTGTGTTTAACGTTGACACAAAAATTTTAAAAGAACATGCTGTAACAAATTACAACAATGAGATACAACAAACATATTAAAACAGCTAAAATTTAAAAAATTGATAATACCAATTGCTGGTGAAGATGTGGAACAACAGGAACTTTCATGCATTGCTGATGGGAATGGAAAATGGTACAGCCAGTTTGAAAGACAGTTTGGCAGTTCCTTACAAACCTAAACATATTCTTATTATATGTTCCAACAATCATGTTTCTAGGTTTCAACTGATTTGAGAATCTACATCCACACAAAAACCATTACATAAATGTTTGTGGCAGCTGTATTCAAAATTGCCCCAAATGGTCTGCAACCAAGGTGCCCTTCAATAGGTGAAAAGATAAACAGTGAAGTATCCACATGACGCAGTACTATCCCACAATAAAAAGGAATGTGCTATAAAGCCACGCAAAGACATGGACAGGTCTCAAATTTATTCTGTTAAGTGAAAGAAGCCAGTCTGAAAAGGCTACATACAGTATGACTCCAACTATATGACACTGGGGAAAAGGCAAAACTATAGATATGATGCACAAATCAGGGACTGGGGCTGGGAAGACATTGACTAGGTGAAGTGCAAGGGATTTATTTTTTTAAGGCAATGAACTATTCAGTACAATACTGTAATGGTGGATACATGATAGCATGCATTTGTCAGAACGTAACAGCACAAAGAATAAACCTTGATGTGTGCAAATTTACAAAATAACTGAGGATGTCAAGGATCCCCAGATGGAAAACAAAAGGTGACACATGAATTCAACCATATCACAAATGGATGAAACAACTTCTGTAAAGGGGGTGGGGGACAGGTGCCAACCTAGACGGTTTTGGAAACAGGAATCTGTAAGAGAAAGGCAAAAAGAACTTTACATCACACTGTATGCTGTACTCTAGCTGATAAGGTTGTTTCCCACAGGTAACAGATTAAGTTCTGAAAACACTGCCTCTGTGTACTGGAACTGAACAACTAAAGAAATGGAGGGTGAATGGTGGGAGCCTGGTTACTCAAGAGTGGCAGGCTGAAAAGGCTAAAATGATCCATGTGCCAATGGACTGGAGCCAGAGAGGTCAGTATGACTCATGTTTACCCTACTATAGATAAACAGATACTGACAGTTACATATAGAAATACCTACAGATGTGTGTATATACACTGGTTAGTTACACAATATACACTTCCTTGCTCTGTTAAGAGGGCCTAAAACTACACCCCAGAAGCAACAAGCAAACCTAGCCCCCAGATGTTGGTTTCTAATACCATTCTCCAGTAAAAGAAACCAAGACTCCTTGGAGAAATGGCTGATTCTAAGTCCAGGTCAAGAAATATACAAGATAAGCCTGGATTATCTTACAGTCCCAGAAAGTAAGTGCTAAACAAAACAAAACAAAACAAAAAAACCACCCAAATCCCACAATGATGGAAGTATGTAAAAGGGACACAGGAGTCACATGAAAGAGCTCCCAATGACCCAAGCTGGGACAATTTGAGCAAAAAAATAAAGTAGTACTGGATTAAACCTAAAGTATAAAATAAATACCATGAGTCCATATTGATATAAATATATTATAAACAGCAAAGAGCCAAATCTGTGCAGAATTTCAAATCATTTATGTAGCTGCTCTGCCCTCACAGAGGGGATATATAACACCCCATTTCTTAAGTGTGGGCTGCACATAGTGACTTCTTTCCAAAGAATACAGTGTGGGAAAGGGGAGAAGAGCAAGTGTACAGTACAGAGTCCTGGCAAGCACTGTCGGAGCCAGGTGATCAAAGTCAGTGCCAGGAATAGCAAGCCATCTTGATGGTGTGCGGCCTTGATATGACATGCTAAAATGGCACTTTATGTCTCTGGACTTCCTCCCCAAATAAGTAACTCCAGTCTAATCATGAGAAAAACATCAGACAAATCCCAGTTGAGGGACATCCTACAGAATACCTGACCCCTCAAAACTCTCAAGTCATCAAATACAAGCAAAGCTTTATAAACTGTTACAGCTAACAGGAGCCTAAGGATACATGATGATAAAAATAATGTGGTATCCTGGATGGAACTCTAGAACAAGAACAAGGCATTAGGTAAAAACTAACAAAATCTGAATAAATGTATTTATTTAGCAAATACATGTGTCAGTATTGGTTCATTAAGTGTAATAAATGAATCACATTAACATAAGATGTTAAGAGAAACTAGACTGGGTGTATGGGAATTGTTTGTATTATACTATCTTTACAATTTTTCTGTAAATCTAAAACCATTCTAAAACAAAGTCTTTTATTAAAAAAAAAAAAAAACTCCTACCCTCATGAAACTGTGATTACAGCTAAACAGAAGCATGTTACGTGATTTAGCAGATTCTATAACTGCGAATGAGCGAACCCTCTAGGAGCCAGGTGGAGGGACAGGCTAGATTAGTTGGGTTGAGGTGGGGAGGGAGGTTAGGAAAAGGCCTTACAAGGGAGAAAAAGCATTCGAAGAGGAAGGTGCAAGATGAGTAGACGCTCTCCAGGCAGACGGGGGATCCAGTAGCATGAAAATAAGAGCACAGAGGCCTAAGCACGGGCAGCGAAGCAGAAAAACAGAGGTGCAAGCTGGGGGAGAGCCGAGGACCAGTGGAAGGGAGTGGCCAGCCCAAATCGGTGGGGAGAGTGGAAAGGGCTGGACAGGGGGCCAGGGATGCAGGGGCTGCTAACTAGGTTTCAAGCAGGATCAGCTGGTGGGTAAGTGCCAGGCCAGTGGAGATCCATTACCAGGGATCAATTTCCAGCCCTGCCACTCCCCTCCCTCTAGCTCTGTAGGGCCGTGTCACCAGTGTCTAAGGCCCTCACATGTAAAATGGAGACAACACCACAGCCTATCTCACAGGGCTGCTGTGAAAAGTATTAGTTCATACCTGCAAATCACTTAGAACTGGGAGTACGTAATAAATGTCCAATACCTGTTAGCTGTTGTTACCATGTTAAGGAGAAGGACAAATGGCAATCTATTGTAAAAAAAAAAAAAAGTTTTGGAGGCTGTACATAGGTGTGTGGTGTGGGGAAAGGAATGGGACGAGTGGAGGCTGCTACTGTGGTCCTGACAGTCTGGATCTATATATTTGTAAGGTTTTTCACTGAATCCTCAATGAGACCATGACTTCCTCTGAAGTCACATTCTCACCCATGTGGAAGTATGATTTTTAAAAGCTAGTGCTTTTTTTTATTTTTAATTAAAGTATCACTGATATATAATTTTATGAGGGTTTCAAATACACAACACAGTGGTTTAACATTCACCCATATTATCAAGTCCTCACTCCAGTGCTGTCACTGTCCATCAATGCAGTAAGATGTTATAGAGTCATTAACTGTATTCTCTGTGAAAAGCCAGTGCTTTCAAAGTTACCCTATCTAGGTAATTTAAAATTCCCTACCTAGGTAAGGATATAGTAAAAGTGTGAACTGTTATACACTGTTGATAAAGTAACACTGGTAATAATCGTTGGGAAATAAATTGCCAATACATTTCAAGAGCCATGGTATCTTTTTATGCTCTGTGATCTAGTCATTCCCACTGCTGGAAATTTATCTTAAGGAAATTAACCCAGAAAAGGGGAAGGGAAACAGGTACATAACCTTCACTGAAGTGTCTTCTAAAGACAAAAACTGGTATCAATTTAATGTCCAACAAAAGGGGAAGGGTCTGGTGTATCATGGCATTTCAATTGTTGGATATTATCATTCACTGAAAAAATTATGGACTGGAAATACCTACAAAGTTAAAATAAACCAAATGGAAAACTTCATACATTATGATTTTAACTACATACAAATATGTGCATATGGACTAAAGGCAAATGGACAGAAACGTGATCTATTAGGATGATGATACATGACATTTTCTGATTGATCTTACACTATTTATGTAATATTTTAAAAATCCACAAATCAGAGATTTCATTTACTTTTTATAGGAATACTAAATGAAATGCCAATGAGTGTAACTGAAATTAACCTTTTTTTAAAAATCAGATGAGTGAACATACAAAGAAAAAAATCGTTTCTTGAGTCACACAATGGCAAGGACATGGGAAAATATTTTGATGCAGTGTTATGTGAAAATCAGGACAACTCTACATATGATATTTATATAAATAGGCTTATATAATATATATTTAAAATTTCAATAAACTTGATTAAAATGTGAAAGTGATTATTTTTAGTAAGGACTATAATTTTTATTTTTTATGTATATTCCAAAAATTTATCAAATGATCATCTATTACCTTCATTCTCAAAAACACAAAGGATATGGATAGTTTTCAAACACATATGCATAAGAGTTTTGGCCTTGAAACAAACAGTTCAAAACACATGGAGTGCATTCCCAATACCAGATACCGGCTGAGATGAGTTTTACTGGGGGCAGTTTTGTCTTCCTCTTTCCCAAGGGAACAATGGGCAATCTCTGGAGACAGTTCTGACTGTAAGTGACTGAGGGGTGGGCGGGAGCTACTGGGATCTCGTGGGTAGAGGCCATGATGCTGTCAAACACCCTCTAATGAACAGGACATAGCCACTCACAACAAAGAATTATTAGCCCAAAATGTCATTAGTGCTGAGATCGAGAAACCCCTCTTGATGTACCAGGAACAAAATCACCTTAAGATCACCCTGGGATTCTCTGGTAGGCAGGCCTGTGTTAAGATAAGTAACACTGGTGTTAGCATGCATTGTTTTTGGAGGTCAAGGCATCACAGTAATCCAAAGTGGCTGAATGCCATCTAGCGGTATCATTCAGACACAAGTCCCAGAGTCTTCACTGAATTACTGGGTCGGTAAGGACAATAATAGCAGGAATACTTCTCCAGCAACAGACTGGAACACCTAGCCAAGCTCCCCTTACCACTTATTAGGAGAAGAGACAAAAGGCTTGAGTGATTCACCTCCAAATCCATCAACAACCCGGCGGTGCACAGAAGCCACCTTGTGGCACAACTGAGTATCACATTCAGTTTCTATTCATTTCTACCACCTAGAATTTCTTTCACTGAATGAAAAATAAGGACGGAAACAGAGAAGATGAGGCAAAGGCACACAGACCATTTTTATGACAGTTATCCCTAGTACTCTCTCTAGCCTGCCCACCTGGTGCAAAGCATTTACAATCATGTTTTATTACTAATCATTGTTTCATACTTACGTGTAACATCAGGGGCCATGTCCCATAACAATGATTTTCAAATTTGCAGCCCACAGTCCACACAGAAACTAAAATAGAAACTAAAATAAAATTTGGCAAAATACCTTTTTTATGTGATGCACTCTGACATGTTCTAATCTATTTTATTTACTTGGGAAAAAATAACAGCTGTAACCTCTAAATTGATTTCATGACTCAGTGAGTAAAGGGTCACAATCCTCAGTTTGAAAATAACATTGTGGTACTATGGTATGACTCTGTGATGGTGAAATGGGCACAAACACCTATCTTTTTCATAGAACAGAACTCAGGACAGGGGAGGCCCACTGAGAAGGCACAAGGACATTTTAAACAAGTTGGAGGCTCTGGATGGAGTCTATCTGAAAGTACTAAAACCTGTTGTGTTTTATCTCACCTTCTCTATAGCCCTGAGCAAATTAAGGACAGGTGACTGAAAACTGCACATGCACCTAATGTCTAACAGGGGTTAGAAAAGGAGAACTTAAGAAATCCCAGCTCAGTAATGCTGTACTTGGTCTCCTTCAATTCTAGAACTGACTATTAAAAGTTAATATGAGATCCCAAAGACTCAATACAGGTTCACTAAATACAAATTCAGAGCAAATGGATACTCGGTTTCTTATTCTGAGTTCTTAGATTTACTGGTAAGGGACGCCCAGCCCAATACAATCTATCTTAATTACAGTAAATTCAGTGCTTAGAAAAGTTATCACACTGCAGAATTTTAACTCTAGAAAGAGCTTATGATTTTACAAGCCAAAAAAGATCTCAAACAGACAGAAGCCACATGCTTGAAGTCAGGGTAAACCAGAGTGAGAGCTGAGCCTAATATTTATGGTCCACTGTACTTACTCCATGACCTCAAATTACCTCTTAGTTTCCCTTTGACACCTCTTGGGCAAGATGAGCACAGGGTGAGTTTGGTTGAATCTTAACTGGAGAATTAACTCCACTCTAAGAGTTTTGGTGAGCAGGCCCATGCTGGTTTAGATGGAGCTCTCTAGTGGATGCTGGAGGACTCTGGCTGTGGCCCAGTATGGCTCAACATTTTTACTGATGGACAGAGGACATTTGTTTTACAAATGTATCCATGACAACATCAAAAAGACACGGTAACATGCTGAATATCAGAATCATGATTCAAAAGGATTTTGGCAGAATCAATATAGCCAAAGTTGAAATGCAAAAGAGCTAAATGTAAATTATTGTATTTGGATTCAAAAAAACAAATAAAGGGTTCCACATAAGATACAGCAAACACTCAACCCCATCTCTCCACTGAATACAGCTACGGACTCTGGAAAGTAAGCAGAGCGAGGGAAAAGACCAGAATATAAAGCACCATGGACAGTATCGAGCTCCCTAGGTTTTTTCTTCAGTATCTCCCAGTCTGGACTCGGAGATCTGATATGCAGGAGTGGGGACTGAGCACAGGTAGAGCTCCAAGAGAAATCCTCTAGCTCTGGTTCAAGGAGTAGAAAGAAGACTGCTAATGCTCAGAGTGAGGGAAATTCTTGTTTCTTCTCCTTTCTCCATTCTCTCAGACTGGAGCTCCCACACACTCCTGCTGTAGTCACAGTGGTAACAGTGACTATGGTGCCAATGGGGGCTTACAGACACAGAAACTTTGAAGGAGGGGAACCTTTCTCTCTGATTGGATGAGCTATGATCCTAGATGGTTCGGCAATTTCCTGTTGCTTTTTGTCTTTGTCCTCCCATTGCTCGGACCTGGGTACCGGTGTCGTTGCAGGAAGTATGTGGCCGAGTGGGTAAATAAAACCCCAGCTTTCTAGCTGGAGGTCTAAAAGGGGAGCCCCAGGAAACCAGTACTACAGGGGAGATCATGGAGGGAGATTAAATGAGACACTGCAAGGTTATGTATGGACTCCAGGGCTCGCCCTCATAGTGCATGCATGGATTGGCCCTAATCATCATACCAAGCACTTTGAGAACCAAAATCAAAGAACTAATCTCTAACTGGCCACTGGGTGGCACAATGCAGGTCACATCTGGAGAGCACAGCAAAAGCTTTGAAAACTGAACTGTCATTGGAACCACATCCCACAGAAGACTGGTCAGAACCTGGGATCTGAACACAACCAGGTGTTCAGACACCTACAGTCCACTCAAAGTGGGGAAATACTGATTCTAAGTGGACTGTGAAAGTAGTATGTGTAGAGTAAGCTCTAAAGGAGTAACTAAAAAGCTATACAAAGGGATATAATTAAAAACACAATAGATAAATTCAAATGGAATTTTAAAAATGTTCAAATAATCCAAAGACATGAAAGGAGAAACAAAAAACAGGGAACAAAAAAACAAAATGGTAGTCCTAAATCCAAAGGTATCAATAAAAAAAAAAAAGATTATCAGAAGATATAAAAAACATGACTCAAGGATTTGATATCTACAGGAAACACAGGTAGGTTACATGTTAAAGGGATAGAAGCACTTTCAGAATGGTAGAATAAGGATCTCTAAAAATCTGCTCTTCTAGATTTACCCTAAGAATGCAGCATCCCAGTTTGAAAAAGACAGATGCACCCCTATGTTTATTGCAGCACTACTTACAATAGCCAAGAAATGGAAGCAACCTAAGTGTCCATCAGTAGATGAATGGATAAAGAAGATGTGGTACATATACAAAATGGAATATTATTCAGCCATAAGAAGAAAACAAATCCTACCATTTGCAACAACATGGATGGAGCTAGAGGGTATTATGCTCAGTGAAATAAGCCAGGCGGAGAAAGAGAAATACCAAATGATTTCACTCATATGTGGAGTATAAGAACAAAGAAAAACTGAAGGAACAAAACAGCGGCAGAATCACAGAACCCAAGAATGGACTAACAGTTACCAAAGGGAAAGGAACTGGGGAGGATGGGAGGGAAGGGAGCGGTAAGGGCAGGGAAGAAGAAAGATGGTATTACGATTAGCATGTATAATGTGTGTGGGGGGTAATGGGGAGGGCTGTGCAACACAGAGAAGACAAGTAGTGATTCTACAATGTCTTACTATGCTGATGGACAGTGACTGTAATAGGGTTTGTGGGGGGGACTTGGTGAAGGGGGGAGCCTAGTAAACATAATGTTCTTCATGTAATTGTAGATTAATGATAACAACAACAACAAAAAAATCTGCTCCTCTAGAAAAGCATCAAGAACACTGACACAATGGTCAAAATCAGCTTTTTCAGAACTCTGGAAATGTTCCATGGATTATTTGAGAAAAACGGCTGAATCTTGTTAAGAATAGAAAACTTTGTGGCATTTCAACTTACCCTATTCCCTACTCTCTCTCCTCAGATCTGAGATAGCATTCAAAACCAACAACCTCGCAATTACAGTAGCTGTGAAAACCAGCAGCCCAGCAGCCACTGAAGGAGGTAAACTGTTCTGTCAGTTCCTCAGAAGTTCCATACTCAGAGCACTGTCCCTATCTGACCTGACTGGCAGCTCCCCGGAAACTTCTGCTTGCAAGGCTTGTCTTTATTTGACCTGATTCAGTGAGGCTTTTCTCCCAGAGTGTTTGTTAAAAGCCATCAGTGGCAACTGTTTAACATTATAGCTGCCTACAGCAGGCAGAGCTAACAGTAAAAGCAAACAAGAAAGTGGCCAAAGGCTTGAGAAGAAAGCTGGTAATCTAGAAGGCCAAATGCATGTGCAGAACTGTGCACATGTCTAAGAAAGACAACTGATGGCCCTGATCTCAACTCTGTCTGACCATGAGGCTCTGTGCAGAGAGATGAAAGCTAAGGCAAAATTGTAAACTACCTGCCAGAATATTGAAGGCATGTTCATACACACACACAGCCCCTTGGCAAAGACTGGGACACCTACTGGTTCAAGGCACTTAAGGAAATCTCAAATATTCAGCTGACCACTAAGCTAACCAAACAGACTTTGGTGGCCACACACAACAAAGAACACGTAGGGAAATTGGTCCTGGAAGGGGCCAAACATATTTAGTATGCCAGTGAAAGTCTGACTTTATCTTAAGACCCAAAAGTAAAATTGTCCAACCAAGAACCATGCCAATAACATCAAGGAGCTCCTTTACCAGCCACGCCTAAAGGGAGGTCTGTCCTGGACTTAAAACAAGCCAGTATCTTTCTTCATACAGAAGCCAGTTTGGCTTTCTGACACCTGCAATTAAATGAGTCCTAACTAACAGGAACAAGCCCTCCTTTCTTCAGCAACCAGCCAACCAGCTCCAAACTCTGAATCTCATTCTTGACAGGTAAGCCACTGTGATCAACACTGAAAGGTCACAACCAAGAAAAGTGGGTACTACTCACCTTCTCTTTGTTTCTTCTGTTCAAGTTTCATCTTCTTTGCCAACAATTTCTTCTCTTTTAACTTCTGACTACAAATGTAAAATAAACACATTAATCCCTTAACTACCACATGGCATATTTTAGAAATAAACATCTACTTACAGGATCTTTAAAGACTTTATAATTACACAAATACTGTAATAATTAAGTGAAACACTTTCTCATGATTCTGTTATTCTATCATTATCAAACTGTTTCTTCATGAATCAAGATCAAATCTTCGGGAGTCCTCAGGTAAATAAAGCAATCTCAAGTAATTGAAGACGTTTCTCCATTCAAAGACATTTAGGGACTGTTTTTAGAATCCTGCTCATCTCTATAAAAGTTAAGGGAGCATTTATTTTCATGCATGCATGTGCACGCACACAGCCTGTATGCTCATGTAGTCACTTACGGAGAACACAGACCCTAATTTAAGGAAGAAGCTAAATGGAAGTTTGCTTACAGTATTGTTGCCGGGCAGCTGCATCTGGGGAGATCTCTCCCTGAACATTAGGTGAAACCTCAGCCTGGATGGGGGAGGGTTCTTGACTCTGAACAAGAAAGAATTCTCGAACAGGTCAGACAGGCAAGGAAGAAATTCATTAAAGTGAGAGAAGTAGTGAATGGCAGCTGCCTTGGAGGCAGCAGAGAGCAAGGAAGAATAGAGGGAGGAAGGGAAGCTCATGAACTCTTGCTCATAATGGGGCAGATATCTTGCCAACTCCTAAAGCCAGGATCATCTGGTGCCCAGCATCTGCTTGAATCTGCATGGTGTGGGAATGAAGTCTCTACTTCTACCCTAGGATTTGGGAGAGCTGCAGAGCATTGGATGGAGTGAGATTATGTTCTGAGAACTTTTTAAAGGCAAAGAAATGAGATTTTCAGGCAGGCTGCTAAAGAGTATGATCATACAGCTGCAGTCCTGTCTGGGTCATCCAGATGACAGGAACTTGCAAGCCTAATCAGAGATCTCAGTAGCCCCTCCCTAGTTGTCGGAAGTAGGACAGAGAGAGTGAAGACTTTAGCTTAAGTGTAGAAAACAGAATTAAATAGCAAAGTAACAAAGATACTTGCTACTGGAAGAGTGCAGAGACAAAATGCAGTAAGTTGAGCAGTGAGAAGGCTTTATTTAAGGCAAAAAGTACACGCTCGAAGAAAGGGGAGTACAGGCAACCTCAGAGAGGAGATGCACTCAAGGGTGTAGGATTCTCTTTAAAGGCTTTCAAGAGTGGGGCAAAGTGGGGGTGGGGTGTAGGCTTGACAGGTGGTCTCATGATGTCTATCTCCAGTGAAAGACATTATGTCACTATATATAGTTAGTCTGTCCTCTAGATATTCTGTAAGATAAACACAAGGAATTTCTTGATCTTGTTCCTCTCCAAGATAGTGGTTATTCTCAAGCAGTGGGATGTATCATTTAGGACTGCTTGCCCTGCCTTAATATAGGGTGGGTTATTGTCTGATTGCTATAAAATATGTTAGGAGGGGCGGGAGCCAAGATGGCGGCGTGAGTAGAGCAGTGGAAATCTCCTCCCAAAAACACATAGAGCTATGAAAATATAACAAAGAAAAATCTTCCTAAAATAGAGACCACAGGACACGGGACAACATCCAGACCACATCCACACCTGCAAGAACCCAGCGCCTTGTGAAGGGGGTAAGATACAAGCCCCAGCCCGGCGGGACCCGAGCGCCCCTCCCCCCGGCTCCCGGCGGGTGGAGAGAAACCGGAGCAGTTTTTTTTTTTTGCGAGCGCTTTTTGGAAGCCTTAGAGGGACGGGCCCCCG